ATTTCCTAATTTAAATTTTCAGAATTTGGCAATTGTTATCCTCTAACTATTCGTAAAAAAATAAAAGTTGTTGCGTAATTTTTTATAATTTTTTTCAAATCAAAGTTGCCCTTCTAAGTTTATATAAAGTTAGCTGGACAACTCCTGAAGTCCTTCACATCGCTTAAATCCTTTTTAACCAGAATTTGACGTTAATTATTCGGGAAAGAATTAAATTTGTTGCATATTTTTTAAATTTATTTTTATTTTTAAAAAACGTAAGGTTGGTCTGCTAAGTGGATACTAAGTTAGCAGCACAACTCCTGAAATGCTTCAAATTTCAAAAAATCTTTCTCAGATTAGTCGATGCTGAACAAAAATATAAATATGTATATATTTACCTGCGTTTCACATTTTGTGTTTAAACTATTATAAACTCTGCAAGGGTATTATAATAAAGGTTGTCAACAGGACTAAAAGGGTAAGGTTGCGTTCAGCAGAGCAACGTGAGCTCCGATCAGTGATGTATCAGAAATTTGGTTCTGGTAATCGCTCATGCTACATTACAATCATCTGATTTAGTATATGTATACTTCATACCTCAAAAACAGTTCGGGACATTCTAAACTATTCCCTAGACAATGCAGTTCAGAAGAGCAGATACAGGATATTTAATTAAATTGCATAGCATTGGCTTCTAGTTGCAAACTTTATTCGTGGCTGGTTTTGAGATAGAACTCATAGAGGGTACCAAGAGCCTATAGTGCCCCGAGTTAAATATGCCCTAATAGCACAGTTATGAAGTTTTTATTATTAATCAGAGCTTTCAAAAGATTCTTTACAGAACTATCAATCCTGTTTTACATTACACTTCCGAAAAATATACGCGGGTTCTAATTTCCCATTGTTAACTTCCGAGCGAAACCACACAGAAACTTTCCGCATACTATTTGATCAGATCCGCCAAACCATAAATTAATTATTTTAAAATACATTGCATCGATGTAAACTGCGAAAGTTAATTTAAATTCATTATTAAAAATTTTTCAGGTACATTTTTACATAACAGAGTCGGTTAAAGGTAAAATATTAAATATTATAAAATCTAAGAATCGTTTTTGTTCTAACCTCCCGCATTTTTGCAAGTCCAGCACCTCTGTAATAGTTTCCGAACGGAAAAGTCTAATTGAGAAGAAAAATTTAAGGGTTGTAGCATATAATCATAATATTATATTTGAACGATTGTTTCGAAGTTTTTTTCTACTAGTATATTAGTTCAAGCTTATGAAACAAATTATTCTGCTAATTTTATCTACAATCTTTACGAAGGAAACTTATTCCTTAACCTTGGCAACACTATTCAATTGAAAAAAAAGAAACAAAACAAAAGGTGAAGGTTTCACAGCACTGTCACCAGATCAGCTGACTGGAATTGAAAATACTTAAAAATACTTATTTTCTTCCTTTGATTTTATGCATTAAACTTGTGCGCTATTACGAACGAAACCGCCAATATACTTTTTGGATACGATTTTTTAAGGATTAATTTGATGCCAAAACCAGCCACCTTTTAAATCAATTTGTGACGAAACGGCTAGGGTTTGCATAATAAATTACCCTGTAACAACACAACATTTGAACACTTTTTTTCTTGCTTTAATTTTGTTTAAAAAAATATTTAGAGGTATAGTTCTTGGGAATCCATCAAGTCAGCTTCAAAAATGGTTGGTTTTTGGAGTACATCCTACCTGTCCCAAAAATCAACCGATATCAAAAAAAAAAAAAACAAGAAAGTTTGTAATTGGATCATTAAGAATCGATCCATTCTGGTCAAATTAAAACAATAAAAAAAGGAAATGTATATAATTTGTATATTTATACATAGCATATAATAATTTCGTTTTGATAAAATTTTAAGAAGAATAGTTTAATCGTATAAAAAACTATATTTCAGATTTAAATATCTTATGCTTATTATCATTATAAATTAAATTGCTGAAAACCACACAACAAAAAATTTCATTACATTTTACCTATACTTATTATATTTACAGTTTGACAGTTTCAGTTTTACATTCGCAGCTTTACATTTTTTTGTACATCTACCGATCGTATCTATGACAGCTATAAGATATAGTCGTCCGATTTGCATATAATTAAAGCCGAAATTCTGATATAATAAAAAATGACCATATCTCAAAAATTATGAGAATACGTTGAAAAACAACTAAGTCTTAATTTTTTCTGTTAATTTCCCGATCGCTCCTATGGCAGCTATAAGGATAAGGTAGATATAGTAGTCTCAGCAATGCTGAAAATGTATTCAAAAACAGACAAGTTATAATTTTTTTTCCATATATAGCAGTGAGAGTATATAGAAGACTATATGCAAAGTTTAATTCAGATAGCTTTAAAACTGCGGGACTAATTTACGTTGCAAAAACCATATCTTTTGAAATAAACAAGGCAATCGAATAATTTAAACAGCATTGGGCAGGTAATTGTTGTAAAATGTATACATTACTGCATAATGTTCCAAGCCCACAAATTGGGCTTTTCTAAGGGTATTAAAGTGAAAAAATAATAGATAATCAGGCCTGCTCCGGTAATCGTAAAATTTTTTCGATTTCGTTTTGGGCGAAAACGAACCGTTTTCGTTTTTAGCTGCTCCGGTTTTCGGCAAATTTCTGCTATCGGATGTTTCGTTTTCTCATCGTTTCTCACTGCTCAAGCAGCTAACTTGTGTTGTTGGTAATAAGCAAACAACGTAAAGTACTGCCTATTATATTTACAATTGCCCTTTTTCTAAGCCAGAAAAAGGCAAAAAATGGTAGAATTAAGCAAATCCAGGCACCTAAGATGCTGCCACACTTTTCACAGTTTTAATTCCGGTGGTCTCAAATAATTATTTGGTTAATTTGGACTATTTAAGTAGTAAAATTAAATAGCTTTAATTATAAACAACTATTTTGGCGGTCCTTTAAAATTATTAATGTATTCATTTATATTTTATAAGTATTTTTAACTGGCTGTTTCGTTCCACCAACAATATGGCAGCCTTGGCGATAACTTTTTGCGGTGAACTTATCGGCCTATCGCCAAAACGAGAAAACGGGTTGAACACGGCAAAAATTTTGTTGTCAAATCTGAGGAGGGGTCAGAAATAAATTTTTTATAAAATAACTACCTTCCAGAATGATCTTGTGGTGGTGTGGAATAAACATCAATAGACCACTGAGTAAACTATTTTTTTCCCTTTGTAAATAAGACCTGATTTCATATAATAAAAGCCATTTACTTTTAATTCCGGCCAGAAAAAGGTGCCCGTTTTTCAAATCGAAAAAATCTTTCGTTTTCGATTACCGGAGCACCAATTTCTCGTTTTCAAAAACGAAAACGAAAAAATCTTGCCGTTTTCGATTACCGGAGCAGGCCTGAATATTTTTTGTTTAAGTTTTCATCTTTAATTTTATGTATTTTCTTAAATAAAAATAATTTGAAAACTGAAAATGAAAGCTAATATATACTGGTCCAGGAGATGATCCACGTAACTTATAGACTTAGTGTAGTCGGTGGCTTTCATAAGCTTTAGAAGTTATAGACTACTTTAGGCAGAAAAGCCCAAACCAAAGTGCCGTTTTTTTGGGTTAATTAACAGTTTGTGAATGTATTTATCATTTAAAGTAAAAACCATGACCATTGGTTTTATGGTTTTGTGTAATATTACCTGAAAATTGACCAATTTACCCATTTTATTTTTTGAAATATGCAGAAAACAAAAGAAAGTTCAACTTTGAATTCTCATATCTTTTACAAAAAAAATCTTAAAATTTATTTTATTGCAGATTCTGAATCCTCTGTCGAATAAGTATTTTTAACATCGTTTTTGTGAACGTGACTTTGACTTAAAGGGTCAAAAATTACAACTTCACTTCTTCAACTTCAACAACTTCAAGCTTCTGACTTAAATTGTGATATGCTGCAATGGTAAATAGGACTCTTTAAGATGCTATAGGGTTCCCACAAGTATAATAAATAAAACAAGAAAGGAAACTAACTTCGGCTCGCCGAAGTTTGTATACCCAGATTGCAATTGGATCATTAAGAATCGATATTTAAAAGTTGTATATTTATACATAGCATAAATAAAATGATGAAAACACACACAAAACAGAGTTTCATAACATTTTTCCTATACTTATTATGTTTACAGTTTGACAGTTACAGTTTCACATTCCTAGCTTTACATTTTCTCTACATTTACCCATCCCTTCTATGGCAGCTATATGATATAGTTGTCCGATTTTCATAAAATTTATACAAAAATTCTGAAATTATACCAAAAGCTCATATCTCAAAGTAGATGAAAATACGTTGAAAAACAACAAAGTTATAATTATTTCTATTAATTTCCCGATTGTTCTTATGGCAGCTACATATATGATATAGTCGTCCGATCCGGCCCGTTCCGACATATATAGCAGTGAGAGTATATAGAGAAGACTATATGCAAAGTTTCATTCAGATAGCTTCAAAACTGGATATGGCTAGATCGACTCGGCTGTTGATGCTGATCAAGAATATATATACTTTATAGGGTCGGAAAGGTCTCCTTCACCGCGTTGCAAACTTCTGACTGAAATTATAATACCCTGCAAGGGTATGAAAATAAATAAAATAATTATAATAAATAAAACAAAAAAGTTTGGAATAGAAAAAAAAATGGTAATAACTACTATAAGAGGAATACGAACTAAGCGCGGGGAAAAAAAACAAATATTTATTTTATAAAGTTATACATTTTTCTATCTTAAGCTATAAAGTTAATTTCCCGATTTTTCTTATGACAGATATATGTATATGTACATATATCATATATCAACTCCGTCACTGCGTTCCAACCGGACTAAAATTATAACCCATGAAAGGCAATAGAATGTACATATGTATGTCTTATATTTAGAGAAAACTCGAACAGCACATATGTTTATGTAGTTCATACATGTATATATATAAATTACCGTATTAATTGTTTTGTAATCCAAATTTTTTAGGTGGCTTAGATATACTTTTACGGATTATTATAGCTTATTAATCTCCGTATCATTAGTATCCTAGTTTTCTTTTTTCTTTTTGGGTCCAGTGAATATTAAAAATTAGAAAGAAAACCTATCACTAATTAAATTTTGGAATACCCTGCGTATTTCGGAATATACTGCTCAAAGCCTGTAAACATCTAATTGATGCACAAAGCATGCATACGCACCCTTATGGATTGCGTTGCTTTTTAGTAAACAGCACTTTTGTCAATGTGTTAAACCGCGAATTAACATGTTATTTCATAGTTAAGCACTATATATTTTCATTTTATATATGCACGTATTAGTTTATCCAAAATTTCACTATAAGCTTTAAATTAACATTTTTACGGCTATCCGTTTTCTTTTAATTTGTTTACAGCTACTTTCACAACGATTATATTTTATTTATTTTTGTTTTGAGGCGTCGATTAATGGTCATTTCACACTGATGCCAGTCAATGGCTTTACTCCCGAGACAGAATAACGGTAGTATTTTCTTAGAAAATGGTTTCGATTATTCGACATTATTGCAGAGGTGCTCGACAGATCTGATAGGTTTGAAGTTTCATAGTGTTCCGGCTGTTCGAGAGTAAGATGCTAAACTGACTAAACACATTCCCACGTCGGGTTCCTGACGCTAAAAGCCGAGCTGACGCTTTCCGAGCTGTGCAGAGATGCTGAACCGATGTCGTGGCTTTTAAGAGAACCATGAAAAGAGCTTTTTGCGCCTAAGGATAGAGTAGTGCCGTGCCGCTCTAACAGATCAAGGGGCAGTTGAACGTGAAAGAATGGTTCAGCTATATATGCGCGTTAAGAGCAAGCTTCTCTGCCAGGGCTTTCTGCAAATCAACATATGCAGCGTTTTTAAATAAATTGTACATTTTATTCTTTGATTTTGCATTGTACTTTGACGTCTAAGGATAATAAAATAAAAAATTCGTTAACACATAGAAAACTTGTTTACAAAAAGTAAGGGTCAATGTGATATAATTTCGTATTAAAACAAAGCATAGCATCTGTGGCACAATTGATAATATAAAATAAATAAGGCCCTTATATAGCCGGAACAAAGGCTTACGTTGTGATAAGTTAGGTTGAAGGAGGCATCCCATTACATCGGAGTAATCTTAAATTTTGTTCTTATTCCAACACCAAAGTTACAACAAATATATATGTACATATGTATTTCTTTCAATATTATTACTTTGCCACCTCTCACTGTTATACCAACTTGTTCAATTGACGGCTTTTTGTAAAAATGACTGTTTTGGTGCGGAAAGTTAACTTTTGACAAAATCAATTGAACTAAGGTTCAATATAATCTCTCCTTGCTTTAATTGCTACTACTTATAACTGCCATAGGTATAACATCGCCATTCTTCGACATATTTTATATTTTTGGAACAAGTAAATTTGTAATATTTTTAGACCTTCGGTTTTAATTTTTGTGGTGATACAATTAAAAGCAATATTTAAAATTTAACAGTTTTTATTATTCCGTACTTGTTAAACTTCTCCGAAAGTTTAAAATTAATTTCGTTGCGTTAAAAAAAGGGGGGTATTACCCAAAAAAATATTTTCATATTTTAAGAAGTTTGTTACTTAAAACCAAATTCTTGAAAAAAACAACTTTTTTTTTTTTTTTTTATATAAGTTCATATTTATTTATACGTTAATCAACCAAATCAATGATTATAAAACGTAGGGACAAACACTAACAACAAACATAACATGGAAACATAACAGTAAACGATAAACAACAATTTATAAATTACAAAGGCATTTCAGTTATTGGTGTAGGACTCGGGTTCATTGCCTCCCTCTTAACCAAAGGTCACCTGGATGTCGTCTCTTCAGTCTTCGTCTGGACATGGGGATGGCCAATGATGCCGCTAGGTGGTTGGTGTGGGCCAGAAGCCGTTCATTGTACCGACTTGAGTGCCTGTTGATCTGCTCCCTCACTGTTGGCATTTGGAGGTCGTTAGCGATGTCTGCATTTCTAGAAAACTAGGGTGCATTTGTGATTGTGCGCAGCGCCCGGTTTTGGACCCTTTGCACTTTCATTACGTTAGAGTCGGACGCAGAACCCCATATCTGGATGCAATAGGTCATAGCAGGAACAACTATTGCTTTGTATAGCAGCACTTTGTTGCTGAGGCTCGCTTGCTAGTGGACTTTAGCATCCAGTTTAGCTTTCTGAGTTTTCCACGGCATGCTGCTGCTATTTTGGTGGTGTGTTGCCTCCACGTGAGCCGCTTATCCAGGATCAATCCCAGGTATTGGGCCTGAGGAGTAATCTACAGTTTCCAAAAGCAACAATTCATTTCTTCATATGAAGATGAATTTGTAAAACAATCAGGCCTGTTCTAGTTTCCACTTCTGCAAAATTTATTCGGATTCGGATTTCCCTGACCTGTTCTAGTGTAGACATATACGCCGCCGCCGATTTTTACCTTTCATTTCATTTATTTTGTTTTTATCCTAGTGCGACAAGTGATTAGCTTATATTTATTGCACTAGTCAAGAAATACCTTATTTGACGCGCCGCCGCCAAATTATGAAAATAACGGCGCGCCGCTGGTGCGGCACCGGCGCAGCACCGGCGCGGCCTTCGGTGATATTATTATACCCTTGCAGGGTATTATAATTTCAGTCAGAAGTTTGCAACGCAGTGAAGGAGACGTTTCCGACCCTATAAAGTATATATATTCTTGATCAGCATCAACAGCCGAGTCGATCTAGCCATGTCCGTCTGTCCGTCCGTCTGTCCGTCCGTCTGTCCGTTTCTACGCAAACTAGTCCCTCAGTTTTAAAGCTATCTGAATGAAACTTTGCATATAGTCTTCTATATACTCTCGCTGCTATATATGTCGGAACGGGCCGGATCGGACGACTATATCATATAGCTGCCACACAAGTTCGATAAATTTTTAGAAAAAAGATAACTTGGCTGTTTTTCAATATTATTGCATCATTTTAGAGATATAGCCATTTTATATTGTGGCCGTATGTTATTTTAATTAATCTCTTTTATTTATTCTTATATTATAGTATTATATGTTGCTTATATTATTTTACACGTTTCTTTCTTGTCTTTTTGTTCACCAACTACGTCTTCTCTTTTTAACTTCTCCAAAAACAGTGATCTCTCACTCTCAGGCCGCGTGCCTTTCAACCCCCGAAATTCATAAGCAGCGCTCTCTGAGAGAGAGAGTAACCTGCTCTCTCAGAGAGCGTAGCCCAACAATCGTGTGACCAGATCATAATAACATCAACTGGCCTGCTACAGCTCGGCCGTCCTGACTTTGAGATAGCCCTCTATCTCTGACTTAATGCTATAACTTAATTACAATTTTAACATATTTACAATTACAATATTACAATTTGTTTTTCTTTACTTTACAATATTACAATTACATATTTTATCATTATATTATGATTTTATCCAATGTCTAATGTTATTTGCACTCCACACGCCTTGGTATGGATTGCGAGACAACTGAAACCCATCTATATCTTTAAGAACATATCTATCATTTTTTTAAAACTTTTACAATGACATAAGGACCCTTAGTCTTCGGAATGAGCTTTCTTGCAGCACCCACAGTACTGTCGAAATTCTTAACCATAACGTAATCTCCTTCTTTATATTCTGTTGCCTTCTTCTTTCTCGCATTGTAGTATTCTTCATTTTTCATTTGAGCCTGTCTTTGTGTTACTTCAGCTTTCTGTCTAATTTGTTCTAAATTTATTCTATTTTCCTCAATACTTTTCTCTTCTAATTCTAACTCATTTCTAATCTCTTCTTTCCCTTCTAATTTTCTTCTAAGTTTTTCTAAATTTCTCCTGTTTTCCTCAATAATCTCATCTTCATCTTCTAAGTTTTTCCTAATCTTTCCTTTCTCTTCTTCATCTTCCAATCTTTCCTTTAGCTCGTCACATGTTTCTCCTCTCTGTGTTATCCCAAATAATGTTTCACTAGGACATAGCTTAATGCTATTATGCATCGTATTATTCATCGAATACTCAACCTTTTCCATAACTCTATCCCAATGTAAACCCTTTTCCGGTTCTATCAGTTTTGCTATCATGGGTCCTAAACTCCTATTTATTCGTTCAACTTGACCATTTGCCTGAGGCGAGCCCGTCGCAATTTTTATGTGCTTAACGTTACTATCTTCCATAAACTCTGTAAACTCAGACGATGTAAAACAACTGCCTCGATCCGATATTATACATTTCGGTCTACTGTACGCTCGAAAATAGTCTTTTAATGCATTTATCACCTCTTTTGTATTCGTCGTTTTTGTTGTGTACAACCTCACGAACTTTGTGAAAGTATCTACCACCACAAATATATGTTTTTTAAATCTGCTGCTATCTACCGGTCCATAATGGTCTATATGAATGATCTCAAAAGGCTTATTGCCTTTGGGTATGCTATGTAAGTGTCCGTCTCCTTTACCCACTCTCGGAGAATAAGCTATGCACTTTAAACAATTCTGAATATGCTCTACTACTTTGTCCTTCATGTTTGGAAACCAGTAGCTTTTCCCAATAGCATCTAACATTTTATCCCTCCCAATATGACCCATTTCGTCATGGTATTTGTATAGCACGTGTTCCTCCATTCGATTCGGTACATAAAATAATAATCGCTTGTCATTACTTTTTCTATAAATTACACCATTTCTCATTTCGTATATCTTATGCTCGCTGCTTTCTAACATTTTCCTAATTTCTTGAACCTTTGCATCTTTTGATTGACAAATTACTAAATTTGTTTCGAATGTATTTGTCTCCACTATCATTATGTTGTTGCATCTGCTTAATGCATCTACATGCTGCATTTGTTTGCCTGATCTATGCTTTAATTCATAGTCAAACTCTTGCAATTCTAGAGCCCACCTTGCTATTCTTGGGTTCAACTCAATCTTATTGAGCGTTAACGTTAGAGAGTTGCAGTCTGTTACAATTTTAAAACGTTTGCCTAGTAAATATATTCTAAACCTTCTTAACGCGTAAATTATGGCTAAAGTCTCTAACTCGAAACTATGATACTTTGCTTCTGTTGCAGTCGATCTTTTTGAAAAATAGAAAATAGGATGCAATTTGTTGTCCTCTTTTTTCTGAAGAAGCACAGCTCCAAATCCTAAAGCGCTTGCATCACAGTGAAGCTCAACATCATCTCTGCAGTCGTATATCGCTAAAACTGGCGCTTCCATTAATTTCGCCTTTAACAACGAAAAACAATCCAATTCTTCTGCTTCGAACTTAAAAACTCTATCTTTTCTCAACAAATCATACAATGGCTTCGCTAATATCGAAAAATCCTTAATAAATCGCCGAAAATACGAGCAAAGACCTAAAAAACTTTGAACTGCTTGCACCTTGCCTGGAACCGGAAAATTTTGTATCGCTTCTAACCCTTTACTGTCAGCCTTAATCCCATCATTCGAAATCAGAAAACCTAAATATTTAACCTTGTCTTGTAAAAATTTGCATTTGTCCATTCTCAACTCTAATTTATTTTCTACTAGCCTTCTAAATACTTCTACTAAAACTTCTAAATGTTCTTCTAAACTTTTGCTTGCCACTAAAATATCGTCCATATATATGATCACCTTCTTTTGCCTTATCATGTCCGAAAATATGTCGTTAACGAATCTCTGAAATACCTGCGGAGCTGTTTTTAAGCCCATCGGCATCCGCAAAAACTCAAATTGCCCCAATGGGGTGGTAAAAGACGTAAATTTTACTGACTCTTTGTTAACAAATACATGAAAATAGCCATTCTTAAGGTCTAATTTCGTAATCACCGATTTTCCTACTAAATTATCCAAAAGGTCATCAATCAATGGTATCGGATAATTATCCTTTGACATTATCTTGTTCAATCTTCTAAAATCGATACAAAGTCTCAGTTCCCCCGACTTCTTTTTCACTAATACAATAGGAGAAGCATACTCCGATTTACTAGGTTGAATAATTCTATCTCTAATGTATTCTTCTAACATTTTTAACAGTGCTTCTTTTTCACTATATGACAGTCTCCTCGGTGCGCAACTAAATGGTTTCGCGTTTTCTAACACTATATTCATTTCACATTTTATTTTCGGATTCTCAGGTCGCTTGACTTGAACATAATGTGTCTCTAACAACTTAATAAACTTCTCTCGATCCTTGTAGCTAATTTTTTCACCAATAATAAAGCACTTTTCCTTTTCATCATCCTCTAAAATATTAATATTCATTATTTCTCTTGTGAAATCGTCCCTATTATTTCCTAAAGTCTCTTCTAAAATTTTGCTTTCGAACCTTTCTTCTTCTAAAATCTCATTTCCTAAACCTTTTCCCAAAATTTCACTTTCTAAACTTTCTCCTAACCTTTCATTTTCTAAACTTTCTTCTAACATTTCATTTTCTAAACTTTCTTCTAAGATTTCATTTTCTAAACCTGCTTCTAACATTTCATTTTCTAAACTTTCTTCTAAGATTTCATCCGCTTCCTTCGGTTCCTTAGTGTCATTCAATAAACTAATATTTGTCTTATTCTCAATTTGGGTTTCAATTCCCTCGACGGTGATCATTTTTAAGGTTTCTAAATTAATTTTCAGATTACAAGCCTCCATAAAGTCCCTACCCAGCACAATATTACAGCTCATTGAATCGTTAGCCACAGCAATTAAATTAAAATAAACCTTTATTTCTTCTTTCATTACATAACATAACATTTTTCCATAACTTCTTAGTATGCTTTTATTTAATCCATAATATAGCTCTTCATGAGGCTCTAATCTAATATTTTTGGGTACATAAGAAAATTTTATCAAAGATACTGGGCTTCCTGAATCGATCAAGCATTCTGTAATAATTGGCTGGTTAGAGTTTTCATAAACAAAAATTTTAAACAATCTTACGTAATTATTTGCCGCATCCTTCTTGTTTTGGGGGCACTTGCTGATCATGTGATCCATCGCCCCACATCCATAGCAGGACCCAGGAGTCCTCTTCGATTTGATGCAGTCTCGTGCCCAGTGCCCTTTACCGTTGCAGTTATAGCAACGCGTCTCCTTGCTCGCCAGCTCATCCTTCGCGTTGTGCATCTTCTTCTCTCCAGCAGTCCTTACCGGCAACATTATGTTGGCAAATGCTTTAAGCATCCTTCCTGGGTTCTCGAAGCACTGAAGCTTGGCCTGATTGCATAGATATATCGCCGGAATGCCAACAATAAGTCCGTCCAGCAGCTCGTCATCTTCCATGTTGACTTCTCGTGCCAGCCTGCGTTTTTCTTCGAAATAGACTGCAAACTTCTCAGTTGGCTTCCATAGCCGCGCCTCGAATTTGCGTCTCAACTCTGCTTTCGATTCGTTGCCACCAAACGCAAGAAGTAACTGGTCTACCAGCTCACTCGTCGATTCTCCGAACCGGGTTGCATCTGCGTGTAGCCACTGCAACGCGCTGCCTTTCAGTTTTCCAATCAGCAAAACTCTACTCTGGGTGTCCGTTAGCTTATACAATCTGGCAACATTCTCCCATTGGGAGACCCAGGCACGAACAGACATGTTTTCCGAAAAATCCAATAAGATTTCCTTTGCCAAGCCAAATCCGGCTGACGAAAAATCATCTCGAACGCCTCTTCCACTGTTAGCGTCGCTGCTGCCGTTTTGCCCGTTGTCGTTTCGTCCGAAATTTCCAGAATTCTCGCTGGCGTCTCTTTCATTCCTCTCTGCCTCATTCGCTTCGCTTCGCTCGCCATCTCTTTCGCTCCTACAGACATCATCGGCCGCACCGTTGCTACGCTCGCCATCTCTTTCGCACACGTCGCCGTTATGTTCAGACATGTCGTTTCTGGCGCCGCTTGGTCGCGCGTCGCTTGTTCTCGAACTGACGCTGTCGATCTGCTGCTGAAGATTCTCGAGAACCTTCCTTGCCTTCTCGATTTCACGATGCAGCTCCTCCATGGTTGCCATGCCACGAGCCAGTTCCGTCCGATTCTGCTTCACTCGCTTCTCCACCGCTGCCCCTTCCGCCTCTTCGTCAAGAATTTCTTGCTCCTCTTCCACCTGGTTTATCATTGGAGCACTGCCTCGGCTTTCGGGTGGAATCGCACATATCCGGGAGTACAGATCAGCTTTTGATCCCTTCGTCGACAAGTTTAAACATTCTAGCCATTTTTTCAGCTGAGCCACCGTCACTTTATTAATGTCCAAATCCATTTCGGTTTTTTAGTTGACGTGCACAAAAAATTTTCTCGATCCCACTTCTGAGATTGTGGCCGTATGTTATTTTAATTAATCTCTTTTATTTATTCTTATATTATAGTATTATATGTTGCTTATATTATTTTACACGTTTCTTTCTTGTCTTTTTGTTCACCAACTACGTCTTCTCTTTTTAACTTCTCCAAAAACAGTGATCTCTCACTCTCAGGCCGCGTGCCTTTCAACCCCCGAAATTCATAAGCAGCGCTCTCTGAGAGAGAGAGTAACCTGCTCTCTCAGAGAGCGTAGCCCAACAATCGTGTGACCAGATCATAATAACATCAACTGGCCTGCTACAATATTATTCCAGAATTTTGGTAAAAATTCTATGAAAATCGGACGACTATATCTTATAGCTGCCATAGGAACGATAGGGAAAGTAATAGAAAAAATTAAAACTTCGTTGTTTTTCAACGTATTTTCATCTACTCTGAGATATGAGCTTTACTTATTATTATAGAATTTTCGTATACATTTTATGAAAGTCGGACAACTATATCATATAGCAGCCATAGAAGCGATCCGTAGATGTAGAGAAAATGTAAAGCTGGGAATGTATAACTGTAACTGTCAAACTGTAAACATAATAAGTATAGGTAAAATGGTATGTAACTCAGTTTAGTGTCTGTTTTCGGCATTATAATTTATAATATAAATATGAAAACCAATCTGCAAGGGTATACAAACTTCGGCGTGCCGAAGTTAGCTTCCTTTCTTGTTCTTCATATAACTTAGAACCTATTTACACCAGGCTGCGTTATTGCGTTAACTTAGTAAACGTAGTTTTTTTTACTAGTAGTTTTTAGTGGTGGGAAATAGTTGCGTCCAAGTTGCGTTCATGTCGATAACAACAGATTTGTTCGATTGTCGCGTCGATTACAAGAAATTTGTTAGATTTCTACTCGATATTCGGACTATCGAACAAGTTCCACCACCAAATCGGTAAAAAAAAAACAAAGCAGCCGACGATTGATAATTCAAATAATTCAATCTGATTTCAAAAACGGCCGAAAATAGATTTGTGTGATACACAATGTGTGAAGAAGAAGAGCTGTCGTTGGGGGCACTTCTAGGGGATTGGACGGAAAATGTCTTAGCCAGTCGTCCATTCCTGAGACTGGCGAGTGAAAGAATTGTCGGGACCAATTGGAAGAACTACTAGAAAAGAAAAAAAAAGCGGACTCAGCTTCATCAGGAAGACAGAAACAAACTTAAAACCAAACAATTAAAATAAAAATCTATAAATTTAAAATGTATATGCAAATTATTTATTGGAAATGTACGCCCAACGCTTGCCTAATGCGTTATGCACTTTCGGTTGCATTTCCTATACAAGTTTCTTGATCAGGTTGTCCCTCCCTTATTGCACACTTTTGATATGGATACGGCAAGGGACCTCGCTATAGTGGGGTATTCCGCAGTGGATCCCAAGGTGTTCAGGGCAATCCCTGTATTTTGAAGCTCCTCGAAGGTTGCTGAAGACATCTCAGCCAAATCCATGAACTTTATCTTTATGTTCCTCTATTGCTGATATTATCAAGCTGTCGTCGTTGTTCATTTTCGTAATTTTTTTTGTTTCAAATAATTTCAAACAAGCTGTCAAAAACTAACGCAATAACGCAACTTTTGTAGTATAAACTAGCGTCTTGCGTTAATTTCGATTTCGATTGGTAACTCGGGTCGGTGGAAATATACTATTAAAAACAAAAATAAATAAATCATACAAATGGCCAAATACTCGATATAAATAATCGATTAATCGTTAGGATTGTCTCATCTCCCATCTCCCTATGTCACATCTCTAGAACAGCTATTTGGTGTAGTTTACGTTCTAAAGCTGTGTTTTTTGTGTGCGTAAATATGCAAGGTAAGTTTTAAAATACTATTACTAGTGTTAGGAACATATTAATTAAATATTTTCTAAACAAATAGATGGATCAGCCATTGAGTATGTACTCAATTAAACATAATCATTACTCAAATCGAAAGAGCAAAGTTTGGGAGTTTTTCTGCGCATTGCAATTGGAGAACAAATACATTGAAGTGGACAAGGTGTTCTGCCGATTATGTTTGGATGTTCAGAAAAAAGACGACGAAACAACAATCTTTTCATGGTAATAATTAAGTTCCTTTTTTTAAGATTCAAGTAAGATTTTGTAAATTGTTTCAGTGCTAAAATTCAGTCGTATTCCACGAACTGTTCCACAGGGAATTTAAGTCGACACCTTAAAAATGAACACAACATTCGAGATATCGACAGTCCGAGTACTTCATTGGCTACACGTGGATCAATATCAAATTTTTTCAAAAAATCGACGCCAATTATATCTCCAAAAGATAGTAAGTGGGCGCTGGGACAAGAGCTAGCTTTGTAGATAGCTAGAGATTTGCTACCATTTAATATAATTTGTCACAGTGGACTTAAAGACTTTTTAAAAAAATATAGAGTTGTGGCAACTGATGCTGACATTCCACACTACAAAACGCTGTCACCAACTGCACTAGACGATGTGTATGAATGTATTTTACGAGCAGTTACACGGATAGTATCTGGACAAAAACATTTTGCCTTAACTTTCGACTTGTGGACAGATAACTATAGAAGAAGAAGTTATGTAACGTTCACCTTCCATTTTCTGTCAGCGAATTTTGAGATGAAGCATTTAACGCTGGAAACAAAATATTTGTCAAAATCGCACACGGCAAGTAACATTTTAACAGAGGTGAAAGAAGTTACTCAAATGTATAATTTGCAAATGGGATCTAATTATGTCGTAACCGACCAAGGCAGCAATATCAAAAAAGCTATTAATTTGGGGTGTATAAAAAACCACTTCTGCCTTGGACATGGACTACATAATTTGCTAAATGTAGAAGGTTACAATTCAGAGCCGGAAATTAAAAATTTGATTGTGAAGTGCAAAAATATTGTGAGTGCCTTACGATTCAAGACACATGTCTTGAGATGTCAAGCTGACGAACTTCAAAAGGGAGTTTTGTCAAATATCGACAATTTAGAAGAACTGGCATCCGAAGATAATGAATGGGTCGACTACGATGATGATTTTGGCCCGTTAGATGATGTTCCCTTGCAAACTTACAAGAATATTAACAACCCTAACGACTTGCAAAGTAGTTTGGTGGACAAGAGAAATGTTTCACTTAAGAACTCGGTCCCAACAAGGTGGCACAGCGTGTTAATGTTAGACAGTCTTGGGTGCCAAAGAGCCGCATTAAATAAGTTGCTCACAAGCAGCAATAAGACTCATTTAATATTATTAGAAAATGAAGCACAGCTTTTATATAAATTATGCGACTTCTTTAAAAAATTTAAAGATGCAGTTACCGGTTTGTCTGGAGATTTGTATCCATCAATAAGTCTTGCGTTAGTGATTAGAACAGAAATCGTCTCAATATTGGAAGAACCTGAGAAAAATGAGCCGCTTGTTTTGACTCTTATGAAAAGCCATATAAAAAATAGATTTGATTCAAGGTTCCCGATATCGGATATACTAGTCTGCGCATCCCTATTAGATCCACGATTCAACTCACTTGATTGTGTGTTGAAGTATTGCGAGAAACAAAGTTTAAAAAGAAACGATTTTTTGTTTAAAATGTTTAAAGAGCTGATTGGAGATGTTGAACAAGATAGCGATCAGCAGCAAGAGTCTCATTCTGCAAGCAAAATCTTAAAGCTTGCTCAACGGCATTCGACCAATACCAAAGATAGCAATTTGGAAGCTGAATGCCATCTACTCCTAAGTTTATCTTCATGTCAAGACGTATTGACATTTTGGAAGGAAAAGGCACCTGCAATGCCCTTACTTTCGAAGCTGGCAAAAAAAGTGTTGTGTATTCCTGCAACGAGCACTCCAAGTGAGCGAGTTTTTTCTATTGCTGGTCTTACAATTTTCATACATGACAATTACGACACTTGCTAAGAAAGTTTAACTTAAATTTACAAATTGAAGAGATAAAAATGAACTGAATTGAAAACTGAACATTAATTATATCTAGGGAAAATTATTAGCTTGTAAATTAAAAGCGTTTTTACGCATACTGAATGAAACTTATTCAAGTCAAGGAAAAAGACTGATATTTTTATACCCTTGCAGGGTATTATAATTTCAGTCAGAAGTTTGCAACGCAGTGAAGGAGACGTTTCCGACCCTATAAAGTATATATATTCTTGATCAGCATCAACAGCCGAGTCGATCTAGCCATGTCCGTCTGTCCGTCCGTCTGTCCGTTTCTACGCAAACTAGTCACTCAGTTTTAAAGTTATCTGAATGAAACTTTGCATATAGTCTTCTATATACTCTCACTACTATATATATCGGAACGGGCCGGATCGGACGACTATATCATATAGCTGCCATACAAATGTTCGATAAATTTTTAGAAAAAAAATTATAACTTGGCTGTTTTTCAAAATTATTTCATCATTTTTGAGATATAGCCATTTTATATTAATCCAGAATTTTGTTAAAAATTTTATGAAAATCAGACCACTATATCTTATAGCTGCCATAAGAACGATCGGGAAATTAATCGAAAAAATTATAACTTCGTTGTTTTTCAACGTATTTTAATCTACTTTGGTACATGAGCTTCTGGTATTACTTCAGAATTTTGGTATAAATTTGATAAAAATCGGACGACTATATCTTATAGCTGCCATAGGAACGATAGGAAAAGTAATAGAAAAAATTATAACTACGTTGTTTTCCAACGTATTTTCATCTACTTTGAGACATGAGCTTTTAGTATTATTTCAGAATTTTGGTAACAATATTATGAAAATCGGACAACTATATATATATGTAGCTGCTATAGAAGCGATCCGCAGATGTAGAGAAAATGTAAAGCTGGGAATGTATAACTGTAACTGTCAAACTGTAAACATAATAAGTATAGGTAAAATGTTATGAAACTCTGTTTAGTGTCTGTTTTCAGCATTATAATTTATGATATAAATATGTGGGATTGGTTTCCTTTTTAAATAAGAAGTCCCACTAGTTTTAAGTTTTATTATAGTATTTAATGATATTTTATAGTAGGTAGTTTAGTTTAGAATAAAGTGAATCGTTTACACGTTTTTAGAATAGTTTGTAATACTTTTTAATCGCTTAAACTTCTTTTTCGTCGTCGTCGTAAGCTCGCGCGTCTCTTCGTCGTCGTCTCTCGTTGCGAACTCTTCGCTTTTCACCTTCTGTCTCTCCTTCTCCTGTGGTGTGGTGGGTTAGGTGGAACTGAGATGCCAGACCCATTCCCACAACTCGGCCATCCTTCTAGACATTCGTCCCGAATGCATTGCTGTCGTCGTCCTTGGAGCTCAGACAAGCCCACGGCTTCATATACTCGGCACAGGTAGTAGTATATCTCGGCCCATCAGCAGATACAGTATCTTTAGAAACGTCATGTGTATCTTTCGGCTTCACCTTGGTAACACGGTACGGACCCAGAAACTTCGGCTTTAACTTAAGTCCGCCACCAAGTTGAGTACGCTTTATGGCAACAAGATCGCCAACTTTGTAGTTCTCTGCAGGTCTGCGTCTCAGGTTGTACGTGTGCTTATTCTCGTCTTGCATGACAAGAATCTGTTGCTTGGCTGTCTTCCGTATCTCGTCTCTTTGATCCTGAAACATTTGGATCAACTCCTGATGAACGATATCTTTTATATGTACGTCGGTTTTAGTTCGCATCTTTACGCCTACTAGTAGCTCAAATGGAGTTGTGCGTGTACTTCTACAGTACGTTGAGTTAATAGTTTGCTGAACACTGCTTACAAACTCGTACCACTTGCTAGGATCTTCGATCGATAGCTTCGACAATACTGATACAATTGTAGCATTCAGACGTTCGACCTGTCCGTTTGCTCTTGGAAGGCCAGTCGTTACAGCATGAAGTTCGATGTTCTCGTTGGAACAATACTGCTTGAACTCGTCGGATGTAAATGCGGTACCACGGTCAGAGATGATTTGCGCAGGATTACCAAAAATTGCGCTTTGAGCCTCCAGTCTAGCGATGACGTCCTTTGTAGATTTTGATTTCGTTGGATACAGCCAGCAGAATTTAGTGAATCCATCAATGACAGCAAGAATATGTTTATACGCTTTATGAGTTGATTCGAGCGGTCCTAAGAAGTCAATGTGAAACGTTTGAAGTGGCTCCGCTTCCTTCGGCAAAGGATGCAACTCTCCTTCCTTTTTGCCAAGCTTGCGGTTTGAAACGATGCATGGAATGCAGCATCTGATCTGTCGTTGAATTTTCTCTTCTAGTTTTGGGATAAAAAACTCTTTGGCGATGATTTCTTTCGTTTTCTTTACGGAAAAATGTCCTTTTTCATGTGCTTGTCGAATAATTTCGCGTTGAAAGGCTGGTGGCACAACTATCAGCTCATCGTCGTCCACTAGCTTGTACAGGAGACCAGAATTCATAAAAAAATTATTGTGACTCGGCTTCCCATTCAGAATGTCAATAATAGCTTTCAGCTCTTCGTCCTGCGACTGAATGTATTTCAATTGGCTGTGCAAGGTTTCGTCGGAGATCATCATTACAGGGTATCTGCTTAAAGCGTCAGCATGTCGTATACGCGTTCCAGATCTGTGCTCAACATCAAAGTTAAACTCTTGCAGTTCGAGAATCCAGCGAGCGACTCTAGTGCACACTTCTCTCTTCTCCATCGTCTTGGTAAAAGCATTGCAATCGCTAACCAACTTAAAGCTCATACCTAGGAGATAAACTCTGAATTTTCGAAGAGCTTCAACCACTGCCAAGATCTCTAGCTCGTAACTGGAAAACTTTCGTTCGGCGTCTGTCGTTTTCTTACTCATGTAATAAACTGGATGAATAAGACTATCGTTTGGAGATTTTTGAAGTAGAACTGCTCCGAAACCATCAATCGACGCATCTGTATGCAGCTCCGTTTCGTGTTGTGGATGAAAAATCTTAAGCACCGGCTTCTGCGTGATCAAACTTTTGAGTGTATCAATAGCAGCTATCTCTCTTTCAGTAATTACGAATTTGGTGTCGTGCTTCAAAAGATCAGTCAGGGGCTTCGCGATGATTGAAAAGTCAAGAATGAACTTCCGAAAATATCCAACTAAGCCCAGGAAGCTCTGCAATTGCTTCTGGTTTATCGGAACAGGGAATTTCGTCACGGCTTTTGTCTTTTCGTCAGATATGGTTATCTTTTGGTCTTCGATCACGTGTCCTAAAAACTCGATTTTCTTCTTCAGAAAGCAGCATTTCTTGAGATTGATCACCAATCCAAATTCCTCGCATCGTCTAATAACGGTTTTCAGATTCGATACGGCTTGTTCTTCGTTTGCAGCAGGAACTATAATATCGTCGACATATGGGATTGCTATACCAGAACGAGTCAAGTCTCGAAAGATAGCGTTAACGTGCCTTTGAAATACGCCTGGAGAATTCGTGAGGCCAAATGGGACTTTTAAGAACTGGTACTGGCCATTGTGGGTTACGAAGGATGTAAACTTGCGACTATCCTCCTCAACGTTTACGTGGAAAAATCAGTTTTTCAGATCTAGTGTGCTGAATATTTTTGCATCTTGTAGACGGTCTAATTGGTCTTCAATCAAGGGCAGGGGAAATAGATCTCGTACAATTACCTTGTTAATCCTCTTGTAATCGATACATAGCCTTGTTGAATTATCGCGTTTTTTCACAAGAACGACCGGACTGCTGTACTCAGACTCAGACTGTTCAATAATACCGTCTTTAAGCCACTGCTCGACTTGATCATCAATGATGCATCTCTCGGAAAATGCGAATCTACGCGAGTGTACAGGAGTGTCTTCCTTTAAAACGATACGCATCACAACGTTGGTTGACTTCGTGCTAACAGGCTTATAGTTTTTAATTAGATCAGTTACTTCACGCTTTGCTTGGAAACTCGCACTATCGTCAATATTAATGCTAATATTTTCTTCATTTTCCACGTTGATTTTCATTAGCGCACCTATTTCCACATCAGAGTCATGTTTTTCTGGATTTTTGATTTTTATTCCGTCGCGATTTATTTGAATTTCCGCATTGTTACAAAATTCTGCAGCTAACACAACTTCAACGTCCAAAAAATCAGATGAAACTACCAGAAAATTTTCTTGAAACACCTGGCCGTCAACTTCGAACTCTTCTTTGAATGAACCAAACGGCTTTACTCTGTTTTGATTTCCGAAACCGACCAGAACAATGTTTACAGCATTCAGTTTTGGCTTCTTCAAACTAATGTACGTTGTTTCACTTATAATGTTGTATTTGCTGCCAGTGTCAATCAAGGCTGTATACTTCGTTTGCTTCATTGTAATCTCCTTGCACATCGATAATTTTTCTTCGGAAACTTTACGCGTATTGCTCGAATTTGCTACCGGTTCGATTTTGCCAACAGGACAGTCTTTCGAAATATGTCCATAATTGTTGCAATTAAAACACTTTCGACCATTGCTACGATTAGAACACTGAGCGGCTGTATGTCCAAAAGCACCACAGTTAAAGCAATTCACTTTTTTTCGGAACGGTTACATCTTTATGACCACCACTGTCTTTCGCACCTGAATATTTCAGCTTTTCTTCGTGATATTTCGATTTTCCAGATTTTTCGCGAATTTTCTCGTAACACTTCAGCTTGTCTTTAAACTCCTTCATGTCCTTCGCATTGTACAATATTGATTTATTGACACTTAAATCGTTTATGCCATCGATCACGTACTGCATAAGCGCACTACTGTCTACACTGCCACGAGAAGCTATCTCTTTCATTTTGAGAAGATATTCTTGCACGCTCTCACTGTTCTTAATTTTTCGCTCGCACAGCATTTTATGTATTTGAGCACCGTTTACTTCAGTTTTGAACTCGTTGATCAAAGCATTCTTCAACATTTGCCAGCTTCTGATACCACGCTCACTCATTATGAACATTTTAGCTAGCCCTTTCAAAGACCGTTTTGCGAAAATGAATTTTTGAAGATCATCCCAGTACATAATCGAAGCCATGTCCTCAAAATCATGCACCCACACCTCCACTGCCAACATGTCGTCACCGTTGAATGGTCTAATCGAGTCCTCAACATCCCGGAAGTTAACCGAAAATCGCG